AATTCACAGGAATGACATTTTCAAATTTATTAAAAGAAAAAAAAAAGTTATTTTAAATTGTAATATTTCACAATATCAGTGTATTTTGAACAAATAAATGCAGCTTTGCTGAGCGTAAGATACTTTTTTCAAAAACATGAAAAAATCTTACCGACCCTAAACTTTTAAATGGTAAAGTCGGTTAAATGTATTTTAACGGTTTTAACAGACTCTATGGAAACATTATGTAATTTCCTTTCTTTTATTTCCATGCAACCAGAGCCTCTCTGATGGTGTGCAACCTAAACTGCATATATAATTTCAAAAGCATATATAATTTCATATAACTTCAGAAACACTGGGATGCTGTTGTGCTGATGTCTCTATGTTGTACCAGGCTGCTTAACCAACTAGCATAAAGAACAGGACTACATGGTCAACTGGCTTTACTGTTAAACTGAATCTAGTCCATCTGCAGCACCAAACCATCACAATCCTACCTGGACCACTTAGCTGACTTTTTCAGCATGGCAGCTGAACATTAAGACATGTTGTGTACCTCCACACTGTTTATTGCTATAGTAACCAAACTAATATCATAAGTTTAGAAGAGGGAACAGACTCTGTATTCACAGGACTGGAAGCAATGACACAGTGTGACCCGAGAGGAATTTCATTTCGTGGGATGTGATTGTATTAGCTGCATGAAGGCTGCGTAGGCAATGCTAGAGCTGGTGAGGATGTCAATTACATAAAATACTGACCTCACGCTTTTCAGCATGCACCATTTATTACAGTAGTCAAGCCCAGAATGTAGTCTATAATCACAGAGAAGACCTTGTGTCTTACTGACTGTGGACAAATCTGAAAGAGCGGTCTTGATTTACAATCTAAAATGGAAATTAAGTCAAGACATCCTGGTGAATGTAGTTCACTGACTGAATCAGAGCAATTGAGGAACATAACATGACACAATTACCAAAGAATGTTCATTTTTCTCCCTGAGGCCCACTTATAATGCAAGTAGCGTATGGGTGCCAAAAACATTCAATATTTAGTTTTATAGGAATATTTTCCACCCTCTTTCTTACCTTTTTATAGGGCTTTTTTTTTTGCCAGTGTTCCTGTAAACGTCCTCTTTACATGAGAAATAAGATTAGCCCTTTCTGACTCTTGCTTCTCAATGACATGATTTTATCATGGTTTAATGGTGGCTTCAGAATGATTGGTCACATGGTGATTGGCTAGAAAAGTGGTCTTTTTTTCCTAGATTTATTTTTGTCATTTTTATGCCTTTATTTAGATAGGACAGTATGTGGACAGGAATCCATTAAGAAGTTTTAATTAAAAAAGTAACAATTTTCATAATGCATTGACCTAATTTAAGTAGACATCATTTTTAATTATTTATATGGTCTTTGCTGTAATACCACCTTTGAATAATAATAATAATAATAGGCTTTTATTAATAACTTTTGCATTGCATTACATGCTCTTGACTTAACTTATACGGTTCTTTGGAGATTAAAATACTATTGTTGTTACATTTATAGATTCAAAATGCAGGTTCTTCAGAGTATTTGTGTCTGGGTTGTTTAAATCACCAGCACATTTTTCAAATAAAAAGTTCTTTATGGGACATAGGTTCTCCATTGGCACTATAGGCTGTAAAATGCTCTTTAGCTCTATTTGTGACTTTTATTTTTAGGACTGTATTCCACCTACTTTTTTCACATGGATGAAAGAGATGGATTGTCATGATGTTCGGACTAGGAGGAAAAGTCATTCATGCCAGAGCTAGTGTGTTGACCCTGGTTAAAGCTTTAGGATCTCCTAGTGTGACATTGACTTGACACTTACACAATACCTTCGCTCTTTCTCAAGAAGATCAAAGAAAAGAGGAGAAAGGCAAAGGGAATGTAGGCTAAGATTCCAACTTTCTTTCTTTCTTTCTTTCTTTCTCTTGAAAACTATAAAAAATAAAATGGCATTCAATGTTTTAGCACTGATATGGACCTACTAATTAATATAATTATTAACAAATTAATTATTATTTAAATTATAATATTTAGAAGTAGCACAAATACAGTGACTATGTTTCTTGTATGAATGTGAGTCAAATTTTGCAAAATATATGTGACATGATCATTAAATCATTTTGAGTTTCCAGGGTGAAAAGCTACAGAGGCTTTGGCACAAGGAACCATCACAAAACATTTGTACCCTGTAGTGCTGTGAAAAAAGGAATCCATTGTGTTAAGAGCACATCTCCAGTTTATGGAAAAAGACAGAAAAAGTGGATGTGGAATCCTCAATTAATATTTTTTTATCTTTACAAAATAAAAATTACAGGGCTAAAAATCACAAGTATCAGTTTGTAACCACATGCTTATGTAATTTTATTTATTTCATCACCATATTACCCAACAAATATTTTGACATTTTTAACTGTTTGTATTTTGTTGCTGAATTTTTAAGTAAGAAAGCCCTATTTGCTAAAAAAAAGTTCATGTCAAAAATATAACTATAATCGTTTAACCCCTATGTGAGGGCAGGTGAGATAAAAATAGCTCTGGATACAGTGTGTTTTTATGTTAGTGTGCACCGGGACATGCACTATAACTGTGAGCTATTGAAATTAGTCATTCCAAATCACATGATAAGAAAACCTGCCATGGGAATAAACTCAAAATAGAGCCTCATGTTAAGCTTGTAGTTAAGGTGTTACAAGGTAAAGGGAATAGTTATTCCCTAAATTCCCTATATTCTTTCATGGGCAGTGTTCTTTGGTATATATAAACATATTTTGTGGTTACAATAAAATCCTAATGTCCAAAACGTTCAGGACTGTTCAGTGTAAATGGAGAGCACCCACAGAAAAATAAATATAAAACATATTAAGTTCAGTCCTGTCACAGTGTCGAGTCAATAGTACTGAAAGCTGAAATGCAAATGATTACATTAAAAAAAAAAAATTCTCTAGTTGCTCATTTTTCTGTTGAAACTGTTGTTCATCTCTTTTGGAACTGTCCATTTACAAAGAAATTTGGGCAAGATGTTTTAGGTTTCATTAGAAGTCAAATGTATAATGAACGTGTCCTGTTTTGGAAGGATGTAGTGCTGGGTTTTATTGATTAAGAACAGTCTAAAAAAATGGATGTAGTGAATCTGATTTAGCTACTTGCAAAATTCCACATTCACAGATGCAAATATTCAAACTCCAGAACTCTCTTTCGTTTTCATAAATGAATTTGAGCAATACCTTTCATTGATCCAATTGTCTAAGAACAAAAAAGCTTTAAAAACGTAAAGCTTAAAAACAAAAGGCTTTTTTATCTGTTTGTATCTCTTTTCCTTTCTTTAATGACATGTAAGTCTCAAATTTTTGTTTTGTAGTTTGTAATGTATTTAACAACCTTTTTTTAATTTTTTTGTTACTGTCTTTCCTTTTATTTGTTAATGTTTGTATTACTGTTTGTATAGTGTTTTTGAGTATCAGTAACACACACACACAGGTCAGCTATAGGGACTCTCCATAGGCGTAATGGTTTTTATACTGTACAAACCATATTTTCTATCGCCCTACACCAACTCTGCACCTAAACCTACCCCTTACAGGAAAACATAAACGTGCACACACACACGCGTTGCGCGCAAACACACACACACACACACACACACACACACACACACTGCTGCTTTCAGAAGTAATGGTTTGTGTTAATCTCCCTCTACTGGAGAGGAGGGTGTGCGTTGTGCAACAGGCCTGTTTGCAGTTTTATGCAAGATTATAAAGTCCATGTTTGTTGATTAAAAACATTTTCAGAAAATATTCAGCAATAAACAATTCAGTCACTATATATTTTATTTACACTTTTTATAAAAGATCTCTATGAACACTGAATTTACCTTCATGATGGACTTGCACTCTTAAAAATAAAGGTTCTTTATTGAAGAACCATTAACATCCATGGAACCTTTTCACAGTTCTACCTAAATGGTTCTTATATAGCATCACTAGCCAGGTTTCCATCCAAGGATTCTTTACAAAAATTTTGTAGAGCTTCAAAAGTTTTTACCGATATAGCTGATGGAAATGCCATTTATCGATAAAATTTCTCATGTGTCGACATTATCTATTAGTATCGTTTAACTTTAGCACATAAATTCTTTATCGATACTTCAAATGTCGCAAAAAATTGTTTGGAAACACTTTTTGTCAAGAAAAGGGGCTTTAATCCCAGGAAAACAAATGTAGGTATTTTTATTGGGTTACAGCCATGTATCAATTCAAATTTCATTTAATTGTAATTTAACATAATCTTGTCGGTTAATAATGGCTTAATGACCGTCGGTTGTTGGTTAGGAGAAATAAAATAACCGAAATGAACATTTCCTCTAAAAGTTAATCAGAAAAATAATGATAGGCTAATACAACTGCACCTATTTATGAATAATGCTTGATGATCAAGTATCTAAATAGTCTATAACAAAAGTACAAAAAAACAACAACAACTCATGACACTTGTTAAAAACTATTTTATGCAGGCGTACAATTTAATAATAGCAAGGTATTCTATAGTCTTTGATAATAGGCTATAATACAGTTTTGTTTCAAATGGATGAAGAACAGGCTACTAGCCTATATAATTTACGAAATAGTTGAAATTATGTATGGAAACAGCTCAAGGGCAATTTTTTTTGCGATACACCAAAACTTATGCGACAATTCGTTTTTTTTAGGAATGACATCATCACGCACACCATTTTTTCGGTAAAAGGCCAGTCGGATGGAGACAGGCTGTAGAAAGCAAATTTCGCTGTTTTTTTTTACACACACACACACACACACACACACACACACACACACACACACACGAAGTAATGGTTTGTGTTAATCTCCCTCTACTGGAGAGGAGGGTGTGCGTTGTGCAACAGGCCTGTTTGCAGTTTTATGCAAGATTATAAAGTCCATGTTTGTTGATTAAAAACATTTTCAGAAAATATTCAGCAATAAACAATTCAGTCACTATATATTTTATTTACACTTTTTATAAAAGATCTCTATGAACACTGAATTTACCTTCATGATGGACTTGCACTCTTAAAAATAAAGGTTCTTTATTGAAGAACCATTAACATCCATGGAACCTTTTCACAGTTCTACCTAAATGGTTCTTATATAGCATCACTAGCCAGGTTTCCATCCAAGGATTCTTTACAAAAATTTTGTAGAGCTTCAAAAGTTTTTACCGATATAGCTGATGGAAATGCCATTTATCGATAAAATTTCTCATGTGTCGACATTATCTATTAGTATCGTTTAACTTTAGCACATAAATTCTTTATCGATACTTCAAATGTCGCAAAAAATTGTTTGGAAACACTTTTTGTCAAGAAAAGGGGCTTTAATCCCAGGAAAACAAATGTAGGTATTTTTATTGGGTTACAGCCATGTATCAATTCAAATTTCATTTAATTGTAATTTAACATAATCTTGTCGGTTAATAATGGCTTAATGACCGTCGGTTGTTGGTTAGGAGAAATAAAATAACCGAAATGAACATTTCCTCTAAAAGTTAATCAGAAAAATAATGATAGGCTAATACAACTGCACCTATTTATGAATAATGCTTGATGATCAAGTATCTAAATAGTCTATAACAAAAGTACAAAAAAACAACAACAACTCATGACACTTGTTAAAAACTATTTTATGCAGGCGTACAATTTAATAATAGCAAGGTATTCTATAGTCTTTGATAATAGGCTATAATACAGTTTTGTTTCAAATGGATGAAGAACAGGCTACTAGCCTATATAATTTACGAAATAGTTGAAATTATGTATGGAAACAGCTCAAGGGCAATTTTTTTTGCGATACACCAAAACTTATGCGACAATTCGTTTTTTTTTTTTAGGGATGACGTCATCACGCACACCATTTTATCGGTAAAAGGCCAGTTGGATGGAAACAGGCTGTAGACAGCAATTTTCACAAAGTTTTTTTTTTACGCATATTCTCTTTGTCGATAACAAAGCAGCACAAAAACTGGATGGAAACTTGACTGCAAACATGCTACATATTAAACATTTAGGGGAAAAATAGTATTAAAACAACAACAAATAATACTAACAGGCTTCAACCATATGATTTGGCTGGTGATATAATCATGATTTTTACACATACTGCAAAGTGAGCAATACTGATATCAAAACAAAGATCTTATGAATCGGACTAACATCACAGTGCATAAAGCTCAGCAGAAGAATGTGATGAGATACAAACATATATACATTTAATACATATAAATTACAAGCACTTTAATGATTCAAACACTGTCCCTTGTAGTCATATGACTCAGCAATGCAACAGCTGATGTCACTCTCTTCAAGCCTTATGGGATAAATCTAAGTCTTTGGCCTGTCTTTATTTAAATGATTATTAAAGACCACATCCAAGGACCCTGTTTACACTTGGTATTAAAATGTGTTTGTCGAGCCAATCACGAGTGGACAACTCTAAATGAAAAGATATTGAGAAGAATCCTCTTGGATCCTCAAATGTGTTGTGCTGACCTGCAGCTGGAGTGCTATTGCCTGTCCTGAGTCCATCTGTGCAGCTCTGGACAGTCTCTCCTCAGTGTCTGCTATGAGTAAATGGTGATGACCTCCCTGCTGCTACCTCGGACCAGCAGCACCCGGTCCAATCCCTCTGTGAGGACCTCCAGGAACTCCATGTCTGACCTCAGAGTGAAGGAGAAGTGTGGAGAACTGCTGTACATGAAGGTGACATTTAAGCTGTAACTCACTACGAATTAAGCTCTAAGTCTGAAAGAAAATGACAGACCATGTTATCAAGATTCTTTCCATTACGTATCACAGCCCGTTTTTAAGCAGACGTGTAACTGTCTGCATTCGGCTGATGAAAGGATACAATTCTCGTCTCCGCCCTTGTTTTTGGGTGGTCCTGGCATATTCAGCAGCACCAGTTGGGCTCCCTGGGATTTGTTGACTACAACCTCATTCAGTTTGACTGCAGTGTGCATTCTTCTCACGTTAGTCTGATCCCTGTGAAAAATTCAGTCATTCACATTTAGCATTAAGACTTAGCGGTTAGAGTTTTGGGAAACATGAACGATAGTATATCAGTTGTACATAATGTATGAAAGATAAAAAACAACTCAATATGCACATGAATGTAAAGTAGAAGATCAATCACAATTTAGTATTCAAATGATGTCATACTGGCCTAATGGTGAGCATTAGGCCAGTAGATTTCTTCTTTATGCTTTTTTAAGATCAAAAGAAATCATAAAATAGCTTACCAGTATATATTTTTACATACATTAACACATTTGGAGTAAGTAATATTTTTTTTAATGGTTCTGAAAGAAGTCTCTCACCAAGGCTGCATTTATTTGATCAAAAATACAGAAAAACTGTAATACTCAGAAATAGTATTGCCATTTGAAATAACTGTTTAAAAAAATATATATTTAAAGTGTAATTGATTTCTGTGATGGCAAAGCTGAATTTTCCTGAATACACACACACACACACACACACACACACACACACATGGTGAGACCATGTTTTTTCTCCCTTCAAAATTGATGAACAACATTTTTGTTTTGCATTTATTTGAACAAAGCATTTATTTAAAATAGATTTTTTGTAATAACGTAAACGTTTTTTACTATTAGTTTTGATCAGTTTAATGCTTCTTGCTAAATAACAGTATTCATTTCTTTAAGAAAAAAATACCTTGCTGACTCCAAACATTTCAATATTAGTGTATGTTTGTAGTTAGTAGTGTATGTCTGAAGAATTAACTGGTAAAGTACTGCAGCTTTAGTAGAGATTCATACTCAATTGTTTACTGCATTATGAAATGAATGAATATATTTTATTGTATTTCCTTCAAAATTCTTTGAAACATGACAGGGATCCATTGCTCAAAGGCTGATATCTATATCTTAAAGACTTATATTCTTACATTCTTAAAGACAGTGCAGGATTCAAGGTTGAGTGATAGAGATGTGATTTTTTTTTTTAACTATTTTTTACTTCTTCAGAATTTTCTTCTGATGTTTCTTAAATCCTTATCTTTGCAAAGGATTACAAAAAAGAACTATCTAGAAAACAGATAAGCCTGAATTATCCATACAGCCCTAGATAAGTGAAATGTAAAATGAATGTACAATTCATCCATATGTTAAATGTTAAGTATGCGTTAATAGCCAGAAACAGATGTCAACAGCATCAATAAACAAAACACAACATAAAAACTTGTTACACTCTTAATTAATACAACTAATGGCCAATAATCTGCAGCTTAGCACTAAAAATAATACATACCATCATACTAGCTGACTAACTGCAGGTGTTATCTCAAGCAAGCACAAAGTTAGTGTTGAAACACATGCAAACAGAAACATCTATGTCACAATGCTTCATGCTGACACATGCCGTGACTGTGACTCAAGCAGGCCACACACAGAGACACACACCAATTCATGCCGCATGTTTAGTGTGACACACATGCAACACATCCTGTTTATATCTACTACTGTAACACAGACCAGACAACTAATACAGACTCTTAAGCACACAAACTGCTTGCACAAGAGTCAAAGAAACTTACAGATTCTCCCACTCTCTGGAAGGACAAAACAAAATGTCTTAGCATGAAAAAAGCCAACTTTTTTATTTTGAAACATGATAAAACAGATTCAGATGAACTGCAAAATTGACTTTATTGATGTACAGTCTTTATTGAACTTACGGTTTCATATTGAAGATGTCCCGCACAGTCATGTGAGCTTCCCGATGGCGGTTTCTCTCACTACTCAGCTTCTCTTTAGTCCAGGTCATATGGACCCGGTCAGAAGTTGGCGTGGCCTTGTCGTTCAGAGTGGCATGTGACTTAGTGTTCCTGTCATGAATCAGCTGAGCCTGAAAGAGCAAGACACACTCGTTTTACAACAACAAACTCCATTAATGTTCACTGAAAATGCCACTGGATAGCAGACTGGCAGAACCTAGATAGACAAACTTTGTTAAAAGACCCACTGAAAATATCAGCTTGGGCCAAGGAAATTTCCTTGGTGGTCCAGGCTGGTTTATGCTGGTTTGGTGTGCTTGCTGATCAAGGTGGTTGACCAGGGAAGCCTTACTGGATAAGCTACCACCAGCACATCAGTTATGCTGATCTTTTCAGCAGGGAATGAATGTTGTGGGAATGTTGCGATATCCACAAACTATGGATTAGTAACTAGACTGACCACGGAGTAAATAACCAAAAACTCTTCAATACATAAAACAAAAGTAAACAAACAAATACACTACTGCTCAAAAGTTTGGTGTCAGTATGATAAGAAATTAATACTTTGAATCAGAAAGGATGCACTAAATAGATCAAAAGTGATATTAAACGAGATCTATAATGTTCCATAATGTCTCTCTTCTGTTTTTGAACATATTCATCTAAGAATTCAGAAAAAAAAAAAAACACATTCACTGTTTCCACAAAATTAATCACATTTTAATAAATATAAGAAATGTATATTATATTATATTATCAGCATTGGTAATTAAGACATGTTTCTTGAGCACTAATTTAGCATATTAGAATGATTTCTGAAGGATCATGTGACACTGAAGACTGGAGTAATGGTGCTGAAAATTCAGCTTTGCATCACAGGAATAAATTACATTTTAAAATATATTCAAATAGAAAACCTTTGTTTTAAATTGTAATTATATTTCACAATATTGCTGTTTTTACTGTATTTGGTGAGCTTTTTTTTTTTTATCTAACCAACCCCAAACTTTTGAATGGTAGTGTAGTTTGATTAAATAAACAATCTTAAAATAAAGTAGAATAATTAGTGGAGTTGCAAACATTTTCACTAAAAACTCAGTATCGAGACACTCTCATGCTCCATAATGACATGCAGACATGCTGTAAACAAACGAAACTATGACATTTTCAGGGCCACAGTCATTTCATTGCCATGCTATGCTTATTGCTAAATAATAAGGAATTTTCAAATTTATGAGGTAAAAAACATAGCAGAATTATAGTTGCAAAAGGCAGCCATTGGTGAAAGCTGTGGCTCTGTCATGTCTCACAATGAGAAAGGATTACTGCTTTTCCACAGGGGCTTGTGTCAGAGATGGTGCCCAATCTGGAAGCGAGCTGCGCTTTTACACACAAAAATCCTGGTCTCAAACAAGAGGACCAGTGATGTCAGTGGGCACAACTTCCACAGCTCCCAAGTCACCGGCTCCAGCGCAGGCACCAGCCACAGTGGAAAAGAGCTAGTTTGGATGGAATGGTTCAGGAGAGGTGGACAGGATGGTTATCTGGTGCTAGTAGCGTTGACAGAGTAAACATATAGGATCAGTAAGAGGTAAACCCCTGAGCTACCTCCTCGTCCAGAATTATAGTTGGCACTTGAAACTTGTTGCTTTGAGTTGGTTTCTCTCTGCAGGGCTTCCTCCTGATGGAACTCCGGGATTCATCCGAGATGCTTTGAATCTGGCAGTCGCCACATTGTAAATAATCCAAAATTGTTAAGTAGGAGGAAGAGGCCTCATGTTAAACAGAATCCTAACAATGCCTTGAAACTGGATCTAAAACTTATGACTCTGTATGAAGTGTATTGACTGCAAACACATTGATTTATACCCCATACAGTCCCATAATAACCAGACAGCAATAAGAAAAGAATGGATTGCTGGAGAAATATTACCTCTCTCCCTCGCTCTGTCTTAGAAAGCTGCATCTGCTTCAGCATCTGAGAGCGTTGCTCCATCACAAGGGTCTTCTCATAGGTGAAGGCCGAAATATCGCCTGCATGCTACAAAGATATTGACATAACTAAAAGTTAAATTCCAGTATCTTGCAAACATTTCACCACACATAGTATACTATACATATCTTTTAGTTATCAAAATGTGATTCATTTATTAAAACGTAAACTTATTCATTATAAAGATTTATTATTAAACATTATTAAATATTATTATTTTTAATATTTTATTATTCTTATTATTATTTTTAATATTATTAAAAATTGTATCTCACCATTTCCACAACTTCCACCTTTGCATCAAGACGCAGATGGTACAAGAACATCTGTAGGTCTTTCTTCATCTGGATGCTGTTGTCATCCATCTGAGCCACTGTGAAGATCCTCATCTTACACCTTCTCCAAACCTATATGATTTCAGAGAGAGAAAAGCACTGTCTGATAACTATTGGTAAAAAAAGATCAGTTTTCTGTATCAGATATTGTGTTACCTTGTGCTGGCGGAGCAGGAACGGAAGAAGCATGAGTAGACCACCATCATGGACAATCCACCAGACATCAATGGTACCCTCAGCTAACCGGTCCTGGTTTGTGGGAAATGTATCAATGTTTTTCGCCACTAACAGGGCCTGGTGGGCAGCTGTTGTCTCTCTGACGGTTTCTTTGGGACAAATCATTTTAATTTTTACTATTTTATATTATTTACTGTACTTCACTGTTTTCACAAATACATTTCACAAACTGATCTAAAATGATGTGGAATTATTGTAACATTGCAGCGTTTTTGGAACTTTGAGATCCAAAGCCTACAAAAATTCACTCAAAATAAAGCTCAACTACAGTCTTAAGCCTTATAATCTTCATTAATAATCCATGACCTCATTGCCTTAAAATGATTATCTGACTTTATGGCAGCTTAGTATCAGAAAATGACACATGCGCACCGATGAAGTTCTTCCAGGAGAGGGAGCTCTCGGCTTGTTTCCAGTTGGCGGGCCAGGCCATCAGCACTGCATTGTGTTTCATGCCACCCAGGCCTGCAGACTGGATCAGGTGAGAGAAACCATCCCGCTGGTTAGAGGACACTACCACATGACAGAAACCCTTCGTTTTCTCCTTTGCCATGGCCGCTTTGATATTCTGTGAAGAAGAAAAAAACAAAAACAAGGTAATGTTAGTAAGTTAACAATGTTGAATATTTTTCAGTTTGACATAAGTATGGTAAATACAATATGTACTGGAGCTGACATAAGCTGAGATACGTACAAATGCTGTTAGAAAGGCAACATATGTCTATATTTAATCACTACTAATCCCTGAACTTTAACAAAATGACAAAAAATTTACTACAGTGTAGATTAAAATTTGTTTTGTGACTGTCATACAATGTCACCATAAGCCATAACTTATTACAAGGACTTTCACTCTTGAGCAATCTGCAGTTAAGTGTCTTTCTCAAGGGCACAATGGTCATGGCATGTTTTTTGCAAGGTTTGAGCCAGCAACCTTCTGTTAACCAAACCAGAGTAACCACACAAATGAACGCCATAAATTGTGAAATTTCTATGTGAATTCTATACTATATTCTTATGTACTATAAGCCCTAAATTGACTAATTTGTCAACATAAAATATTGCCAGCATTTTCAAATGGGGCCATTGTAGTGATGTAGAAAAGCCCTTGTTTGTTTTACTTTTTTTTTTTTTTACATTTGGTGGTGCATTTATTATTTTCTTATGGTTGTAAGCTGTTCTGAAGGGCAATGTGAAAAAACTCAAATAGGAAAAATTACAAAATTACTTTTCATTTTTTTCCATTAACATTTGCTGACAGTAGTTGTACAGCAATTACTTCACCCTTGAAGTCACTGGATTAGAGAATGTGCCAGGGGTTCCCAAACGATTTTAAGTTAATATTTCAAAACATTTAACAACACATTGACATGTTCATTATTATTATCATTATTAGTAGCAGTAGTATGTTTTAACTGTAATTATACCAATCGAGACAGATATTTATTATAGCTGTAAATTTCAATTATACTGTAAAATAAAAAACATAATATTTGATCATTTTAATAATGCACCGTGCGTTTCATTTATGAACCACTGTTTGGGAAACCCTGGAATACGCAATAAACTCAAAGAATGCTATTGAGTTGTCAAAGCCAAAAACAAATTGGCTTTGCTATGAAAGACAATGAAGCTTGGCTTTAACTGTATGCCTTTACCTTTTCAGAGAGCTTCGCATCTGCCTCACGAGCCATGTAGGTGCCCTCCAGCACTGAGCAGACGATGGTCAGGCCTTTCCCAGCCTTCAGCTGTGAGGTAAAGGAGAGCAGACATGGATGTTTTACCCCCAAGTCAGAGTCCAACTTTAGGAGCACCAGCAGCTGAGGTCTGGAAGATGAGTTACATTTGAAATATTTGTCTTAGATTCTGTCAAGTATGAAGAAGCTTATACAGCACTGGATTCTTCTGGATGCTCACCTCCAGTTCTTGGTGTGAGGTGGCGCCTCCTCCAATTTTATTAGGGCATATTGGGCTGCATTAAGGGATAATCCTCGAATCCCGTCTCCCCATTCCTTCTCTGCCCTGAGGGGAAATAAAATGGGGAGTTAATATATTTTTTACATTTAGCTTTAAAACACTATGAATATGACGGACACTTGCTTACCCTCTGTATTCAATGTACTTGTAGATGCATCCAGAAAACAGTATGGCAACCAAAGCATAGTACCAAGATGAGACAAACATAAGGGACAGACTCAGGCTCATCCCAAGAAAAGATAGGGACCTGCAGACATTTAAACAAATCCAATGGTGCATTTAATGGTAGTTCACACAATCAAACATTAACTCAGACTGGTCCATTCTACCTCAATTTACATGCAGATGGAACTAATAGGTATTATACGACACTTGTTTGGTTAATGAAAAACCAATGTCCATGTAACAGCATGAATTTGAAAGCATGTAGCAGGACAACAAAACATGCCCTTCCCACAAAGCTGTTGCTTGTTGAGGAAAACTGGCCCCTCGACTGAGCTTGGTTTTCTCCATTTTTGTCACCAATGGTGTTTGGGTTCCTTGCCACTGTTGCTTTTATTATTGAATTGACCATACTGACATTGTTGGATGTGATCTGGGCTGGTTGCATAAACTTTTTAGACTAGTCTTAAAGTTAATCATTTCTTTAGTCAAAGTCAGTTTCAAAAAGGTAGTAAAAGGTCTAGTTAAGACAGTCTTAACATCGTGACTATGTTTATGAACTGAAATGATGACATCACTGTTTTCTACAGGACTGCTTTAAAGCTGAATTAATCTACTTTCATAACTGATGATCTTTACACAGTTATTGAATTGAACTGAATCAACACTGAACTGACCTCAGCTGAACAAAGACACTATTATTTTTCTTAGAGCTGCTTTACAGCCGAATTGATCTCTGTTTGCACTTTTGAATCATTATTTTCCTATTTATCCTTATAAAGCTGCTTTGAAGCAATCTGTATTGTATAAAGCGCTGTATAAATAAAGGTGACTTGACTTGTTGCTCGAATAATCATAAAGTGTTACTTACCAGTGGTAGAACTTGAATCTTGGCCTCCAATTTGGGGTGCGTAGAAGTGTTTGGACAGCACAGGCCAAGTTTACAAAGAGGTAACACATCAAGAAAAGCCTGCAAAGTAGAAATTGGAAGCAGGGTTATTATAGTTAACTACAATTAAAACTAAAACCATAAAAAAAAAAAACATTTTGTTAATTGAAATAAAATAAATGTTAACTGATTTTTTTTCATTTAGGTTAACTCATACTAAAATTTCCCAAAATAACAATCTAAAACTGAAATAAAAATGGATAAAAACTACACTACCAGTCAAAGGTTTTTGAACTGGAAGATTTTTTAATGTTTTTTAAAGAATTCTCTTCTGCTCACCAAGCCTGCATTTATTTGATCCAAAATACAGCAAAAGCAGTAATATTGTGAATATTAAGTCGTATGTCATTGTGTGATTGCATCTCAAATATATTTAAGCACTTAAATTAGTCAAGCAATGAGTATTTCAATGCAATTTTGCATTGTTTACATTTTGACATTTTAAAAGTTTAAAGGGGTCATATGATGCGATTTCAAGTTTTCCTTTCTCTTTGGAGTGTTACAAGCTGTTCGTGAATAGATAAGATCCCTAAAGTTGCAAAGACTAAAGTCTCAAACCCAAAGAGATATTCTTTATAAAAGTTAAGACTGGTCCACGCCCTCCTAAAAAGCCTCTTTTAAACACGCCCCCACATGTCCACGTCACTGTGTGGGAAGATTTGCATAGCACCGCCCAAATGTTCACGCAAAGAAAGAAGGCGTAACTTTATTGTTGCTGCCACCGCCGTCGCCATGTTGTGAAGACGCTGTGTGTTTCGTTGCGAAAGCGAAAATACTTTGTTTGGCCTTCCAAAAGAGGACATGATCATAAGTGGTTAAGCTGTATTTACAACGCTTATTGTTCAACACAAATATTCAGATGTGTGCAGCGCATTTTATGGAGGACAAGGACTGTTTCCTGGGAGAGTAGGGCGTAACATTTCCATCACATGCTTGAGGAATTTGGCCAATCACAACATACTGGATAGCTGGCCAATCAGAGCACACCTCGCTTTTCAGACCGATGAGCTTTGTAAAAATCGACGCGTTTCAGAAAGGCGGGGCATAGAGGAGAAACAATAATGTACAGTATGTGGAAAATAATGTGTTTTTTGAACCTTAAACCGCATAAACACATTTCATTACACCAAATACACAAAATAATGTTCTTTTTAGCAACATCACAGTCAAATTTCACAGATTTTACCCCCCAAGTCAGTACAAAGCAGAAGAAAAAAAGATTCCGTCTGGGTCTAGTTATGTCACAAAGTAAAGATGTAAACGCAAGGAGAAAACACTCACATTGAGAGGATGGGAGCAACATGATCCAGGGAACCAATGAGGATCCCAATCTCACAGATTGCTGCAGTTAGGAGTAAGGCCCAGGTTGGCTCACCGTTAGATTTGCTATGACCAAACACCTACCAGTAAGAAGTAGGACATGTTAGTCTTCATAGTCAAGTGCTTTGCGAACTTTCATTTCTTTCTTTCTATATATTTTTGTAAGTAAGAACAATTCAAACACACCTGTGCCTCAGGACATTTAAATGTGCCTTTACCTAATAAAAGATCACAGAAGGCAGGGCATGTTGTTACCTGTAAGAATGGCATGATGCCATCTCGAGCTATAGCCTGAAGGATCCTGGGAGCACCGGTGAGGCTCTGTAGCCCCGCCCCACAACAGGAGAAAAATGAGCCAATCACAATCACCCACGAAGATGGCCAAGCTAGTGTTGCAACAGCTAGAGTCCCTTTAACTGACTCGCCATACCTATTACGAAAGCAAGCATGCAAAAACAGGAAGAATATATTAAAACAGTGACTGCAGGTCTTATCTGAACTGATTTAGCAAGCATTTTTGTAAACCACTATTTATTTATTACCAAACAGCACTTACTTGTCTCGCAGTACCACACCTTCAATACATGCTCCAAATAACACCACACAGGAAAGGTCTGTTTAGCATAATTAAGGTATTCATCTGACTTGTCAAATAATTCATTATAAAATTGTTTACAAAACAAACTGCTTTAAATTCTTTCCCTAGAGGAGGGTCTCGAAGATCTCCAGACCTGTTCGACCCAGCCATGATTCCTGTGAAAATCAGAGAAAAACATTTAATGCATTTCTTTTAAAACACTTTTCCCACAGCAAATAGTTTAACTGAACTTTTCAATATTGTTGTTTGTTTTTTAAACCACAGTTTCTTTTAGTAGTGAAGCTATTTGATGTATTAGGCACAATGTCTTTCAATACATCAACAATATTTGATACAATGTTGCACAGAATCTCTCTTTTGACTTGGTTCCTTCTAAATAATCGGCCAAGTGGGTTAGAAAAATGTTCTTGAAATAGTTTGCAATTCCATCTGAATCATTAGCACAGATCAATCACACTTTGAATCATTTGAAGAGGTTTCTCTCTCTATAAAACCAAAAGAGTACTCAATGAAGTGAATATTTACCCACAATTCACTGAAACCAAACCTGCAGATGAATCCTAACGTTTGTAAGCGAAGGAGGTAAAAAAAGTTCTGTTTTTAGTCATTTGTAGCCAAAACGGTATCAAAAAACTATGAATACATGGAAGCACAAGTAACATTGTGAAGGGCTCATATACTGCTCACATTTTTGCTACTTTTGGCTTTCATAAACAATTGTTTTTACATAAACAATTGGAAAAGACACACTGTAACTATAAACTGTCTATTTCAGACACTGTCACACCCTACAACCTTATCACCTGCACAGAGAAACTGCCACTCAAAATACACACATAATGATGGACTTAAAGGAACACTCCACTATTTTTGAAAATAGGCTCATTTTCCAACTCCCCTAGAGTTAGGCATATTTAAAAGGCATAAAATTTAAAGGCATACTAGAGGATCGTAAAGATATTTCACTGGAACTTGATCTTCATTACATCCATTTTCTGTTTCTGTTCTGAGTTTGAATTCTTTATGCATTTATTTGTGTTCAACAGCAATTGTCATTTATGTATTCAGCTAATAGCTCTTGTTTTAGAGCACTGACATTTTTGCTACAATTTCATGCGAGTAAAAAATAAAAGCACACAATTTTTTTTAATGAAAATGTTGGCCTTCCAGTCACTTTTCCATGCTTCATGTGACTGTAGAGATGTTGTAATAATATGGTGATTTTTGTCATTTTGGAGCTTGAAAATTCACCTTTCTGCAGAAAAAAAGAAAATCATACTGGTTTAAAATACCTGTAACTGAAGGGAAGTAGATTCCAACCAGAAGGGTGAAGAAGGTAGTGATGTCATTGAGGATATAATATGAAATGTCATTGGTGTTATCTGAAGCTTGTTCTGAACTCTGTCCCTCCTTCTCCACTATCGCCCTGTATTGTCCGTAGTGTCCCCACATGTTATCTAGGAGAAAAATTAACACATAGTAAAACACTGAGCAACTGACTATTTAATTTTGTTATCATCATGAAATCTTGTGGTGTTCAACTAATTTCAAGTTAATGAGATTTGTATAGCTTGGCGTGTAGTTTTATTTGAGTATTCACCTGATATGACCCCGCTGAGCAAGCCAGGAACAGCTTGAATCTCTGTTAAATTGTTATTGGTGAAGTATTCATCACATGTTGCATTTTCAATGCCACCTTCACAAAAAAGCTTCCATAGTTGGGTGGGGGTGGTTACGTTGTTGATGAGCTCCGTCTTTAGACACTTGTCAAACCTAGAATTTTGCAAGGTGCGGTTGCCTAGCAGACAAACTCTGTTGATGTACAAAAGAGACCAGTAATGTAATCGTGTTCAAATAATATGCTCCATCATATTCAATATATTGTAAACTTTTAAACATTGTAAATTAAGCTGTAGCATATTTTAATCAAATACTAAGCCGTAGGCTTTTCTAGACCCATTTAGACAAATAAATAAATAATAAATTACAATAAAATAAAAAAAATGAAGTGTCCAGAAACTTGCAGATGTAGTTTTGTTGTAATGTCACGCCAGGTAGCCCAGGCCAGAATCCTATATAATTGAATCATATATAATTCGTATATAACATCATGGGCATCATGAGAACAGTTTTGTTGTAATGTCACGCCAGGTAGCCCAGGCCAGAATCCTATATAACTGAATCATATATAATTCGTATATAACATCATGGGCATCATGAGAATTTGTTACCTTGCTTCCTGTTAGTGGAACGATTTTGCCCTCCACTGTGCTGCTTTTTAATTATTTTTCATCATTTTGAATTCACATGTAGTTATTTGGGTTTATTGTTCAAAATATAATGTAAACAATATAACGTTTTGTAGACTAATTGCATGTCATGTTTCCGACTTGAATGTGAGACATAATAATTTATACACTTGAACGCAGCATAATGTTTTATGCTGTGTAAAGTTAAAATGTCCATGTAAAAAAAATCACAGCACTACTCACGGAGAATTGGGAGGCTTGATGGCAGATTGGATGACCCCTGCATAGATGGCCATAATTGACAGCATTACGCAGGACAGGAAGACCAAAGCCAACTTGTTGACATATTTCACTCCAACAAACACTACCAGAGTCATGATAACTAAACAGCATGTCCCATAAATGCGCATGTTATTTTGCATTCCAGTTGGCTCTCCAGTCTCTGCTTTAAACACAGCAGCATTGGGCATTATGTATGTCTGTAACAGGGTATGAAAGGAGAGAAAGGGTTATTGTTATCATACTAAGGATGCATAAGTTAATGTGATTTTTGAGGTTATGTCAAGAGCAATGAAAAGCTAAGTTAATGATAGAATCTGCTGACTCGTGTTAGTTCAGTGCTGACACAAGCTCTTCTGTAGTGCTGAATGAGTACTGTTTTTGTTTGCCAGAAATTGTTAATGTTGGTCTGTAAGTTTTGACTCACCAAAAAAATTTCCATGGTTCCTAGTATGTACATAGAACCTGCAAATGTGGTGCCCAGGTAGAAACACAAACCTACTGCTCCTCCAAACTCTGGGCCTAATGCTCTGGAGATCATGTAGTATGAACCACCAGCTAAAGTGGGAAGAAAAGAGAATCACGCTGACTTAAAAACAATTATGGAGTCAATAATAATAAAAATAATATATAAAAGAGTGACATAGCAGATTGAAATCATACCAGGCACTACACCATTAGTCGCAATGGCACTCATTGAAATTGCAGTCAGCATGGTCTAGAGATAAGAAAAAAGACAGATGTAAAACAGATAAATATTTTGTTAAATGTGAGTCGAAAATATATTATCAAAAAGGCTATAAGAATACCTCACAAACGTATGTAGACACCCAAAGACAAAACCTATAAATGCTTGATGCAAGGTTATTAAAGTCCTTAATTTTTAATTACATTTTATTTATTTTTTTATTTCATTTTATAAATGTTATTTCTATTGGCAATTAGTTTTTTTCAATTTACTTCATTTTTTGTTAGAATTCACCTTTAGTTTTAATTGTTACAGAGCTTTCCAGTTTTACTTTTAATATTTCAGGGCTGCCAAAGTCAATGTTCAAACTGTATCTTTTAAAAATGTTTACCACCTGTGTGGATGAATGTGGTTTGAGGTACCAGTGTACACGGATACAGGACAATCTTAGCAAAGCAAATGAACAAATAAATAACCATTTTTGTGGGTTGTTAACAAACTGTCAGCAACAACAAACTGTCAGCTTCCTGCTACCCACAGCTACTTTTCTCTGTGTACGGATATGTCTTGACACGCATGGGAGAATTACACATGTAGTTTCTTGAAAAATTCATTCTGACAGCTCTAAAATATAAATTGTGCATTTAGGTAAAGGCATGGTTTGGAAGACAGATTTTTTTACACACTCAAAGATTTGCAAAGGTTTAGAGTTTTATACTCTAAACTGTGTTTAAAAGAAAAAAATATGATTTTACTTAATTTAATTACAACATAAAAAATTGTTTATTGCAGTCCTATTAGTTTTTATTTAAAAAACACACACAGTACCAGACTTTGAGTAGGCTAGTAAAGTTCTTCCGCACCTGACTTGGTAAAAAATTTCAAAATGGTCTCAATTTCAGCATTGTCATGAAACTGTTCTTAAGTCTGACACAAAGTCTGAAGCGCATAGTTGTCTAGAATGTCACTCTATAGAATCAAGATTTGTCACTGAAATCCGATGATTCGAGCCAATTCCGAGAATTATAAGGAAGTGTTGGGTTGACATACTTTTGGCCATGTCAAGAGTTTCATTTCTTTGTGTGACAAAACTGTCAAAACTGACAAAAAGGCATTTTTTTATTAAGTGATTGAAGAAATGGCTTCATGTTTCTTTTCCCACCTGGATACACTAGGTTAGTGAGTCCAAAAAAAAAGTGTTTTTCAATTGAAAATGGAAAAAACTCACGCAAGAACAGCACATGAAGACGATAGCAAGGGCCTCCACGATTCCCGCGGTACCCACTATCCATGTGAGCCGCAGGAAAAGAATCACACCCAGAATGTTCTGCATGCAGGGCAGGAACACACCTATAAATGTGCCCATCTGAGGGCCCTTCAAACAGATTGACACATAAAACGAAAACATTTCAGTTATGTAGGACAAACTGAGATACCAGCAAAATGTCTGCAGAAGCTGTGAATTCAATGCGTGTTTGAGAGTCTTTTAACCATCTCGGTGCGAGTCAGTTTGGAGACTCACATTTACGGTGACCCTCTGAATCCCATCCTCACTCTCCGCCTCCTCGTGCTCGACGGCCCCCTGGGTTATGTTGGTGTAGTTGGCCAGTTTGTTGAGGAGAGATGACACCATAGGTGTGCTGTCCATCTCATCCTGTGAGTAAAGACACGGAGCAGCCAAATGATTTAATACATACAACATTGAATTGTAATTTAAAGACACTATATAAACAAGGTGAAGTATTTTATTTGAACAATGTTCTCAAACAGTGATAGCTGATGCACAAAGATGAAAGGGTTAGTTTTAAAGGGGTCATATGACTCTCTTTGGAGTGTTACAAGCTGATTGTGCATAGATAAGATCCCTGAAGTTGCAAAGACTAAAGTCTCAAAACCAAAGAGATATACTTTATCAAAGTTAAGACTCTGCCACGCCCCCCTAAAACGGCTCGTTCTAACACGCCCCCACATATCTACCTCACTATGTGGAAATATTTACGTTCATATTAAATATGTTCACGCAAAGAAAGAAGGCGTGGTTTCAGTAACCGCAGTTAGTGTTGAAGCAGCCATGTCAGTTAGCCTACCTCATAGAGAGCCATATTCTTGCCATAGATGCTGTCATCATGATCTGTACTGATTAAAGAGCTGGTTTCTCTGGGAGTCTCGTCACCTGGCAAATGAGAGAAAACACAAATATGGTTTAAATCAGAGACAGGTTGATTTTTAGGCTGGAATACGCTATACCATTTTTAAAAACTCCAAACACAACAAACTCACGCAGAAACATGCACCTCATTGTTAGAAGATGCATAACAAATGAAAACAAACATTCTAAAATCTGCTCAAAATATCAGGTATGTTTGATATCCTGTGGCTGGATGGACATAGTCTGAGAGTCTGTGACATTCTCTAACTTTCAGCAACTTCTCTAAACTGCAAATCAGGTTGAAAATCTCAGCAAAATGCATGTAGTGTATTTAGTCTAAATTAGAGCTTCATCTGTTTTGTTTTCAGTGTTGTTAGCTTTGGACCAGACATAAGTACAAAAAATAATAAAAGTGAAAGTGTTAACTCAACTTGACAAGACATGTTTGTTCTGGTCTTGGGAAAACATTACAAAACTCACATTTTCCACATCACTCCTCATCTGTTATTTTGGTCAAGAAATGTAATTGAACCCTTTCATTTACTAGACACTGTTGAACACATGGTTCATGTTGTCATCTTTGAAATAACCCAAAAAGTGTTTAATGCCAGTATATTGTTTAATATGCCATGATTGTTTGCATTCACCAAGCCAATATTTGCAGCAAACAAGCACAAGATATTTTTCTAAAAGATATTTGAGAAGGTGAAATACAAAGTAGATCATCCAGATAATTTTTTTTCTGTCCAGAAGACACTCAACATGTGTTCCCTCAAACTAGGCCTCATTATATGGTTTTTAATGTTTTAATCCGTTTATATCTTCTTAAACCTTCACAACAGCAGATTTATGTCTACTGCACACCTCTGCCTTAATGTAAGAAACATATGTTGACGGTAAAAAATAAAGTGAAACATTACCAATGTATAGGCTATATATCTAGATCAAACAAGCATTTTTCCAGTATGTGAAATTTCAAATGTTCAACATTACAACATGATTTAAAATCAGCTTACTCTTGCCATTGTAATGATCTTTTGATGATCCATATCAATGAGATCCTAACTCACCTAATGTCTCTACATTCAAACCTTCTTCACACTCCATGCTGAGAGGGAGACAAAGGCGAAAGAGTAAGAACGCTGTGCCTCAGGAAATTGCTGTACAGTCTGCTCTAATGCCAGTCTGTCTGTTGAACCACAGTTCAGTAGTCTTCACTTAGTCTTCTCGACTTGTTGCAAGCAACGCTAGACAAACTCTTTAGATTTGTCAAGAAGGACGGTGGTCCATGTGAAGGAGAGCAGCCGGTCTCTGTGTTCCAGCAGTTGTCCAAGTCTCCTACCTCTCATATCTGATTGTCTCTTTCTCTCACTTCTTCACTTGGTTTTTATTCCAGTACATGCTTTATGTAGGTGATATCAGCCTCTCCCTGCCCTCCAGTTTGTTTTGTCCTCTCTGAGATTCAAAAACAGCATCAGACAGGCTCTGTCCTGTATTTCTTAAACCCTCTGTACTGGATCACTGACTGAGTGCGAGTCTTGAATGACTTCTTATCAACAGGGGAGGGGGTGGTTACAGTAAAGGCTTATTCAAAACCAGTTAAGTCAGCCGAAAGAAAATATGTGCAGAAAGAAAAACTGAAATCCAGTTCATCGGCATGCTAGACCTCATTTGTGTAATTTCAGAAACATTTCAAAGTAAAACTTAAGGAGTGTGTCCAGTGTGAAATTACTGAAGTGGGTATAATATGATTATGATAAACATTTAAAGATTTATATTTAACTAAATATTAGATGTGTAAATGAAAATGATTTATATTTTGTAGTTTTTAAGCAGTGACAATCAAACAAACTACTGAACAGATTTAAGACTGGACTCAGTGCTGCATTGAGGTACAGGTATATTGCTGCTGTTAGACAGACTGAGAAAGTTGATTTTAAAGTTGTATTAGTAAACTGGTAAAATATCTATTTCCCAGGCATGTGCTGCCATTGGATCTAATTTCACGTCTCTTTCCACAGTGAAAACAGGACAATAACAGAGGAGGTTCATTAAAAGCTTTCAAGGTTTCCGAAACATCCTTTTCCTGAGAATTCCTTCCGTGTGGCTTGTAAGTTGTGTTTATCATCCTGTACACAGCTAATTTTGTATATAAACAATGAAATCCCAAAGGGACTAATTTGCAGAGGCGGACAGTAACTAAGTACATTTACTTGAGTATTGTACTTAAGTAAATATATGTCTTTACAACTTTTACCTGTAATGGAGTAATATTTGACCAGCAGTATCTGTACTTTCACTCAAGTAATGGAGTTGAGTACTTTGTCCGCCTCTGCTAATTTGTGATGTTTTGGGAAAGCTAAGTTGGCATGCATTTACTGTATAAAGACTTGATTTTAAACGTATAACAGATTTGGCCAAATATAATATATATTTTTTTTTTTTTAAGTGTAATTTATTCCATTGATATATTTATGATATATGTATGATGTAGTAAGAATAGGGAGCACCTACTTGAGGAGGGGAAAAAAACATCAGTTTTATTCAGAGAGCAAAAGTGTTCAATTTAGTGCAAATGGTATTTATGTGGCCAAAAGATAAGATGAAATTCTGACAGCTTGTCATGTAAATTAGTTTTCATTCTAGACCTCCTAATAACACAAGATTGTATTAAATGCTTAGTTTTATGATCTCTGTATTTTGGCAATGCAATGATGATGATTGAGATATAAATGTTCCCCAAACGCCTTGTGTATCATATTTGATACTTGCATTTTAACATGATTTTTCATATAAAATGATGTATGGATAATCAAGTAAAACTAAGTTGTTTCAGTCCAGTAAATGGTGAAATAATAAAAAAATTTTCTTATGTTTACTTTATAAAAATCATTATATTTTTATGAAGTTTTCACATTAAAAAGATGACCTGAATAGGACATTTTTATAGTTGTATGTATGAACTATCAATCAGAGGGTAGAAGGCATGTAGAGCAGGTTTTTCATCAAAGTTCTGACCTTGTTAATTTATAGGAGATTCATGTACTCTACAATAGCGCTTTATAGGGTTAATGAGGGTTAAATGTTCATCTGATGCAGCCTATACAAAATGCCTTTACAGCCACTGGAAGGTTTTTTCACAAGCAGCATTTCATCTTAAAAGGGAAACAGCACAATTACACTTATTTTTGTCATGGAAAGTTTTAAATAGGCCAGTTAAAAGAAAGAGGACAAATTCCATAATGATGAGCAACAAGCTCTGCTACACACCCCTGTACACACATTAACACACATAAAAGAAAACTTATGGATTATGCAATTCTTATGTGAATGGATAACAATAAACTTTAAGATGATTACGCCTGTTCCAATAGTGTGTCAAGTCAGAAAATGAAGGAACATCGACCAGCAACTTCCTCATTTGATGTAAACAAAGATACAACAAGCAACAAGTAACATGACAAGAATCCTGATGCAATTTAAAATGCCCAAATAATGAACTGACATCTATTTAGTTCTTATTCAGATTCTGTCATTTACTCACTCTCATGCAGAGGCGGACAGTAACTAAGTACATTTACTTGAGTATTGTACCTATGTATTTGTTTCTTCTGCTAAACACAGAAGAAGATATTTTGAAGAATAATGGTAACCAAACACTTGAGGGTAGCTATTGACTTCTATAGTATGGAAAAAATACTATGGAGGTCAGAAACTGTTTGGTTACCAACATCCTTCAAAATGCCATTTTCTGTGTTCAGAAGAAGAAAGAAATTCATACAGATTTGAAACTTGAGGGTGAGTAAATGATAACAGAATTTTCATTTTTGGGTGAACGGTTCCTTTAAATTTGAATGGAATCCACAAAAGAAGGTTCAGAACGTCCAGGATAGAAGACATTGTGCAACTTGACTTTAAGGTTTCTTTTTTCTACACAAAAAAGTGGAACAACAAATTAAGTAATTAATCTAAAGAGAAACAGTGAAAGATGTCAGAGTAAAAGAGAAACAGGAAAATGAAGGGGGAAAAAGGCACCAGGAAACCACCAATTGTTTACACTCCATGGAAGATGATTTCACAAACACATGGCAGTGAACATGGCACACATTTGCTTCTGAGGATGCGCTTACTGTCAACAGACGCTTTTAAGAAAACCCAAGCCTTGCACAATAAGCCTTTAAAAGTTCTCCTCCTCTGTTTGCACATGTCCAGGCAGAATTTTTTTCCACAGAAAGCTCTCACCTGAATTGGGTCCCGCTACCGTGTATGGCTCGTCCTTGTCCTCTTCTTTCATTATCTCTTCATCGTAGTCTGGATTTGATATAGGGGTGTCCTCCACCGGCACCACTGTGAAGTTTGTGGGCATTTTCCCTCACACCATGTGCTCAGTGTTATATTCCTTGAGTCTTTTTTTCTCTGTCTCACCCCAAGTCTCCTGGGCTCGCCAGAGTTCGAAGTTCTCTGACTTCTTCACAACTGTTGTTCAGACGCGGCAGCCCATGTGATCACTCTCAACCAAATAAGGAGCTGTACACAACCCCTCCCTCGAGGAGCGACGGGCTGTTCTGTCCTGCCACAGAGTTTAGAGCTGGTGCTTCCTGTTTCGTGCTAACTGCCCTTCTCATTGTACCTGTGACGGCTGGGAGGGAGGTGATGGTTTGCCGTGTCAGTCATCTGAAACTGCCCAAAGTGATGGGAACAAAAGGCTAAACAATGTGGCATTCCTCAACCCCAGCCCAATTCCCTGTCCCACCCCCTCCTTACGTTCCTAGCCTCAAAGGAAATGTGTGCTACAATCATTCCATTCAGGAACCATTAGGACTGGAGAGGAATTAAAGCTTAAAATAACTGCATCGCTCCTGTTTCTCTGGAAAGTCTGTCACTAAAACTGCATGAATGTTTGGTGGACACCATCTTTTTGCACAGACTGTTGATAAGCCAAATTCTTCTAAAAAAATATGTGTGAGTTGGTTTAAAAAATAGGCCTTTAAAAAATAGGCCTAGACGATGAGTTACTCTGTTTTTTGCTTCAAGGGTGTGTGCACAAACATACCCTAACATGACTGATAGATGTCCACTTGTCGACAACGCACTTATCGGTCATGTGAACGTGGCTGATAAGGGTCTCAACAGTAAAACTTTGCTGACTTCACAGGAACAACCTGCATAGCAGCTATTCAGTGGCGGAGAAATCTGCTGTTGTGGCTACAAACTAGAGAATAAAAGTCGTCTGTTCTAGTGTTCTGTGGGGTCCAAGCAAATAAATAAATTCTCACAAATTGGTAAATATGGAGAAAACAGGAGCATTTTGGAATTTATCAGGTGTTCGCAACAGACTGTCTATATAATCTTGTTTTCAGTGAAAAAGAAAAAATTTTTTTTTTTTTTAAATGACTAGGTTGCCCTCTGTGGGTTGAAAGACCACAGTCCATATGTGGCCATATGTGATTGACTGTCTGTCTTTAACAGTCCAGCAGGTGGCAGCATACACAGTTTTTGAATAGACTGCATTTGGGCTCTTGCAGAAGTTTCCAACTGAAGCATGGAATAAAAGCTACAAAACCTCCTTAAGGTAAAAAAAAAAAATAATAATAATAAGATGTATGTTAAAAATAATATAATAGACATTTTGTTTTGAGAAATACACAAATAAGTTGAACAAAATATAAACTGGAGATGCTTTATTTAATGCATACTAACAACATTGTGAAGTTCAGTATGTCACTCTCCTATATGGAGTATTATAAGCTGTACATTGTATTTAGTCAGACAACTTTACCTGCACTGTGATAAGATTCTGATAAGAGCTTTGGATGTGTTTGAACTGAGCTCAAAGTTTTCTAATCTAAAAGTGAATGATTCAAAGTTATTTATTTATTTATTTTTTGATTGATTGATTGTAAACCAGGGACCGCCACCCACACTGTCAGACAACCCAACCTAAATCTAGTATGAAAATGCTATATTTTCTTGGTAACTAGGGCTGTCAGTGTCATGGTGAAGAAATTTCCCTTGCGGTGATTTGAGTGGCTATCGCAATATGTGATACTATCTATCTATCTATCTATCTATCTATCTATCTATCTGTGTGTGTGTGTGTGTGTATTGAGCTCATTGGTATATTAATATATGTTTAATAGTAAGTTTCTCGAATCTGACTGGACAAGAGGCTTTCCAACAGTGTTATTGACATCAGCAGTTTGAGGACTTGTTCCTGTGCTCATTTTACACAAGCTGTCAGTCAGTGCAGTTACATTATTATGCCAGGAGGTGGCGGAAAGTTACCGTCTTTTAAAAACCGCATCCTTCATGAATTAAACAAGACGTTGAAAATAGTTTAACATTAAAGCCACTTTGCAAGGTTCAATCTACGATCAACGCGTTACCTGGGTAATGCTGAAACTGATGTTTCACTTCATAGAGAACAATGCCATAGGCTGTTCAATACATTGAATATCGCAGACGCAGTGATGGGAAATCCCCTTAAACGCTGAAAGGATGCTATGACAAAGATATCGCTTTCATCTTCTGACAACTGATGGCAAACTGACTTTTTTCCACAAATACATGACTTGACCTGAAGAAGGACAGACGCAAGTAATCATGCATGCTCAGACAATCTCTCTCTCTCTCTCTAGATCTACAGAACATATGTACAAATCACAAAGGTACACAGAGTCTTAATGACATATAAAAGCCAGCTGGTGTGAAATATTACTCTATTTACTCTTGTTATGATTATTAACTTTCTGAAAATTCAATACACGTGCACTAAAACAAGACATAGCCTCAAAAAGAAAAAAAAAGAAAAAGTAGGCTATACTCAGTAGCGATATTAATATTGTGGTCACGACAGTCCTATAATAACTCTAATACAATAACAATTGTGCTTCATTTGTGTTGCAGTAATATGCATATTTTAATGTACTTTAAGCAAACAGCAAGATGGTAAATTTGATGTTGACAATAACTCCGGTCCAGGGGACCCACTGCTATGCACATTTAATGTCTGTCTTATCTGACACACACGGCTCAATTTATGAAGCTGATGATCTGAATCAGGTGCCCAGGACTGGAGTTGAGAGCTACTGCTTTAAAATTTTCAGTATCCATATACAGTATATAAATTTGTACATTTAAAACAACTTAAGAAATCTGCAGTAGCCTATACCCTCTTGGACCCCCAGTAGAAAACAATGGATCCAAACAAAGAATCTGTCACGATGTCGGTCAGTTCTCACCATGGACTACATTTCCCACAAGCCCCGCACCTGGAACTAATTAATTACACACACACCTGTTGTCCATCAGGAGCACTATAAATGTTGCTCACACACACACACTCACTGCGAAGTATTGATTGAAGTTTATGATTGTCTGTCTGGTTGCGACTGCGCCGTAAAGAGCATTTCCTGAGCCTTAGTTTAAGTCTAGTCTGTTCCTGTGTTTACCTTTTGCCTGTGTTCGACTTCGCTGTCACAATAAAGCTGCACTTGGATCCGACCCTGCCTTCTCATATCCTTCCCTCCGTAACAGAATAATTCGCCACCGAGGATCCAGCAGCCGTGTCTGGCCGCTCCGATTGAGGATGGAGTTGGCAAAAGAACTGGTCCGTCTACGACAGGGAGCACAAACCCTCGAGGACCATATCCAGACCTTTATAAACACTGCACACTATGCAGACCTGCCGGATTTTATGCTGATTGACTTTTTTGCTCATGGACTAAATGAGTCACTAAAAGCTCACCTTGTCCGGGATGGTCCTCGTGGATCACTGGCCCAATTTATGGATTATGCGCTTCTGGTGTCTGGATCTTCATTCACTGTGGGTGAGGCCGATCCCGTTCCTGTAATTGCGGCCCTTGCAGAGATTCATCCCGTCGCAGCTGAGGAACCAGAGCCGTGTCCGTCCATGGCTGTTCCCCTTGAATTAACCACAAAACGCCCGAGGTTGGTCTCCAGTGTGGAGGATCCCCCTCTGAGATCGGTGCGAGCGGCTGGTGTGTCCATGTTCTCAGCGCTGGTAACCCCTCTAAGCTCAGCGGCGGCGCCCGCTGTAGGAGAAGCCGAAGAGGCGACACCCGCTACGGACCTTCCAGAGGTGGCGGCCATTGCTGCAGAACCTCTCAGGGAAACGGCATATGCTCCAGCTCCCCTCACGGTGGTGAGTCCTATTCCTGAACTGTCTGCTCATCTGAATTCTACTGATAACTCTGATTTTGATCTGTCTGCCCATCCTGTCACGAATACGGAGGTCGTTTGTGAGCTCACTGACCGTCCTGTCACGGCTATGGAGGCCGCCTGTGAACTCACTTCCTG